ACTTTTATATTGGGGTATTGTCTTTTTCTTGTTGATTTATACGGGTAAGTTAAACAATTTTTTAAGGATGGTACTCAAATGACCTGTGCATTGCACATTTGTTTACCAGTCTGACATTTGTCTTCTAAGTATATTGTCTTGCAATAGAGAAAGTTTTGATTTTCAAATAGTCAGCTTAATCAGTCTTTTCACTTAAGATATCTAAATTCTGTAACATGGTGAGATGGGCCTTCCGCATTCCCAGATTATAAAAATATTACATTTTTTTCTTCTAATACTTTTATAAAGTTTTAATTTTTATGTTTAAATATTTGATTTTTCTGAAATTTATTTTTGTTCAATGTGAGAAATTGAAATCTAAAATTTCTTTTATCAAAATGGACAGTCTTTTGTCTTAACATCATTGGTTTGAAATACTGCCTTTATCATGTACGAAATTTTCATATGTAAGTGAAATAATTTCTGGACTGTAATTTTTGTTCTGTCAATTTCTTTTTTCTTTTTTTTTTTTTTTTCTGAGACAGAGTCTTGCTCTGTTGCCCAGACTGGAGTGCAGTGGCGTGATCTCGGCTCTCTGCAACTTCTGCCTCCCGGGTTCAAGTAATTCTTGTACCTCAGCCTCCCAACTAGCTGGTGTCACAGGCGTGCACCACCATGCCCTGCTAATTTTTGTGTTTTTAGTAGAGATGGGGTTTCGCCATGTTGGCCAGGCTTGTCTCAAACTCCTGACCTCAGGTGATCCACCCTGCTTCCCAAAGTGCGGGGAATACAGGAATGAGCCACTGTTCCCAGCCACATTTTATGTTTTAAGAAAATTAGTTGCACAATTACAAGGTAGGGAAACTATTTGATAATACCAGTTCAGTCGTGTTAAAAGCAAAATAAACAAAGGACCTGCTCTTTAAATTGATTGCAAACTCAGTATGAGTTATGATCTTGATTGGAAAAATAAAAAGGGCTGTAATTTAAGCTTTATTACAGGAGGTTTGGCATCCAGATTAGGAAAAGTAGTAATTTCAATTTTTGCTGATCAGTTTTTATAGTTTGTGCACCTGTTTTGTGCCAATAGCTAAATTAGGTGTTAGGATACAAAGCTGAGAGATGTAACCCATTTATAACAGAGTTATAAGTAAGTAAAAACAGGTTTTATGAGAGGCCAGAAGAGGAATATCCAAGATTTAGACCACAGGAGATGGGACAGCTTTTAAGGAGAAGGAGTTGTATAGAGCAGAGGCTTTGGAGGTGGAGCCATCGGCTTCACTAGCTGTGGGACCTTATATTTAATCTCAATCTCAATTTCTTAATGTATAAAATAGAGTCACTAATAATCTATTTCACACTGTTGTCTTAAGCATTGATGAGGAAAAAAGTACACATACATACATACATACATACATATACACATATAAAATTGTGTGTGTGTGTATATATATACACATATATATACTTTTTGCATCATCAATGCTTAGGGCAACAGGGTATGTGTGTGTCTGTATATATATGTATATGTACACTATATATGTGTGTATGTATATATGTACATATATATAGGAAACCTCTAGAGCAGACTCTGGGGACATAATAATTGCTCAGAAAATGGTGTGGAATCTATTTTTGAAGTGCTAGTAGGTAGGAGTTGGCTCAGTAGAGAAGGGCCTTCTCAGCAGAAGGAAAGGTGTATGCCGAAGCCAGGTGGTTGAATTGATGCCTCTCTGGAAATGTAAAATATTTAATCTGGTTGGATTCTGGGGTGCATGTGGAGGGAGCAGCTGAAGATGAAGCTGGGAAAGGAGGCAGGGTGAGATCTCGACTTAGAGCTTTTGTACTATGTTGAGGAGTCTGAGAGGTATTTAGGAAGTGTCATGGCGTCCTTACAAACCCTAATTAGGGGAGTGTTCAGAACAGTTTTGCCAGTTGAAAGACTGGTTTGTTATAGATGCATGGAGTGGCTAGGAAAGCTGTTAGAGGTAGGATATCTAGTAAGAGCAGTGGTGCTCAGCCTTGGCTGCACACTGGAACTGTCTGGAGAACTTTTAATGGCCCAGTGCCCAGATTTACCTCAGATCAATTATATCAGCAGCTCTAGAATTGGAACGTAGGCATTAGTATTGTTTATTGCTTCCCAGGTAATTGCGTTGAACAGCCAGTATTATGAATCACTGAGTTAGAGGGTAACTGTATTCAAACCAGATATAAAGTTGCAAATTAAACGAGTACCAGCAGCATAAAGCAGGGTCCCTAATCAGCCACCAGGTACCAGTCGATGGCCTATTAGGAACTGGGTCACACAGCAGGAGGTGAGTGGTAGGCAGGGGAGCCAGTGAGTGAGCAAAGCTTCATCTGTATTTACAGCTCTTCTCGGTGGCTCCCATTGGCTCCCATTACCACCTGAGCTCCACCTCTTGTCAGATGAGCAGCGACATTAGATTATCATAGGAGCACAAACCCTATTGTGAACTTCGCATGTAAGGGATCTAGGTTGCACACTCCTTATGAGAATCTAATGCCTGATGATCTGTTATTGTCTCCCATCACTTCCAGAGGGGACTGTCTAGTAGCAGGAAAACAAGCCCAAGGCTCCCACTGATTCCGCATTATGATGATTTGTATAATTATTTCATTCTAAAATTATTTGTATAATTCATACTAAAATATAATAGAAATAAAGTGTACAATAAATGTAAGGTGCTTGAATCATTCCAGAACCATTCCTTCCCCCACCCCGATCTGTGGAAAAACTGTCTTCCATGAAACCAGCCTCTGGTGCCAAAATGGTTGGGGACCGCTGGCATAAAGGAACTAGAATAAGGAATAACAAATATGGTGGTCAGTTGAGTGAGGAAGGAGAGGATGGAATGAAGACCATTTCTAGATTGGATCACTGGGTGGATTCGATGATCATATAGGAAGGCTACATATCAACTCTACATATCAAGAGTGAGAACATGAAGGAGAAGCAGATTTGGGTACTAGGAGTTGCTGAGTGGGTACAAGAAAGATAATTTGATTTTTAAATGTGTAATTAGGGGGAAAATGAACTCTATAGTGCCAAATGGGCAGAGAGAAAAACTGAAGTGAAAGGGCCAATGGAATAGTTGAATTCAGGAGACAGAGTAGATAATTGATGGGTAAAATCTCTGAAGAGGCAGAAAGCACAGAGCAGAGATGAAAGAATTAATTTAGGGCTAGCTGTGGTGGCTCACGCCTGTAATCCCAACACTTTGGGAGGCCAAGGTGGGCAGATCACCTGAGACCAGGATTTGAGACCAGCCTGGCCAACATGATGAACCCGTCTTTACTAAAAATATAAAAATTTAACTGGGTATGATGGCGGGTGCCTGTAATCCCAACTACTTGGGAAGCTGAGGCTGCAGAATCACTTGAACCCAGGATGTGGAGGTTGCAATGAGCTGAGATCGTGCCAGTGCACTCCAGCTTGAGCGACAGAGCGAGACTCCATCTCAAAAAAAAAAAAGAAAAAGAAAAAAAATGTCATTTAGGCCGGTGCAGTGGCTCAAGCCTTTTTTTATTTGTTTTTTTAGACGGATTCTCTTTTTGTCGCCCAGGCTGGAGTGCAGTGGCCCAATCTCAGCTTACTGCAACCTTCACCCCCCAGGTTCATATGATTCTTCTGCTTCAGCCTCCTGCGTAGCTGGAACTGTAGGCATGTGCCACCTTGCCCAGCTGATTTTTCTATTTTTAGTAGAGACAGGCTTTCACCATGTTGATCAGGCTAGTATTGAACTCCAGACCTCGTGATCTGCCCACCTCAGCCTCCCAAAGTGCTGAGATTACAGGCGTGAGCCAGCGTGCCTGGCCTTTAACACCTAGCATTTTGGGAGTCTGAGGGGGAGGACTGCTTGAAGCCCAGAAGTTTGAGTTGAGGCTGGGCAACATGGCGAGACCACATCCCTGTTAAATAAAAAAATTAGCTGGATGTGGTGACACATGCCTGTGGCATCAGCCACTTTGGAGGCTGAGGTGGGAGGATCACTTGAGCCCTGGAGTTTGAGGCTATAGTAACCCATCATTGCATCACTGCCCTCTAGCCTGGGTGTCAGAGGGAGACCCTATCTCAAAAAAAAAAAAAAAAAAAAAAAAAAAGAAGTAAGGCAGTGTGGTCAAGTTTTGTAAGATGTGGGCCATCTGAGGAAGGCAACTAAGAAGGAAATGTATTTGTCACCCTACCCTTAAATGTTGGTTGTCCCCAGGGTTTTAGGGTTGGCCTTCTTTCACATGCTTCCTGGATGATCTCATTTGATGTATTTTGTTACACTGTTATCTTCTAAGAGAAACATTGATAAGCTGAAGTTTGTCGGGGGAATTAAGTAGTTAATGTTACAGTTCAGAAAATAATAGGTTGGCTTTTCCTTTGTGGGGAATTTTCTTGGTTGGAGTTTGCTATGTTAATTTGAAATTTAAAGTACTGAAATCACTTGAAAACACAGTGCAGATCTTACTGTTTCTAGTATTAATAACTAGTTAGCACCATGTTTTTTATCTAGTATTATAAAACCCCAAAGCATTAGCAATCTGACAGTTTGAAAATATGTTAGCCTTTAGTCGCAATATTTTGTACTAAAAAGAAATCTGAATGTTTATTTTACTTTCCATGTTGTGTTTCATACATTATTTGTTCTATCGTGTCTATTAAAGATCTTTTCTCAATTCCGATGTAAACTGTGATTTGCATTATAGATTCTGTAAGTATTTTTTCCTCTAAAAGACCAACTGAAAGTTTCATAGCTGTCAATTAATTGGAACTATTTATAGATTTTCAGTAAAATATAAATAAGAGTTATGCAGCAAAATTAATTGTATTTGTTACAACAAAGCAATCGTTCGTATGGTTTTTCAGTAAGGTGTATTTTGTTTATAATATGCTTACTAAGGTAATTGTAAATTACTTCAACAAAATGGATTAGAACCATGGATGTCTGTAGCTAGAAAATGACCTTGGTATTGCAGAATACTAATTTAATGTTTTGATATCATTTCAGGCAACATTTCATTTGTTGCATTTCCAGTTTCCAATACCAACTCACCTACAAAGATTTTACCAAAAACCTTAGGACCAATCAATGTGAATGTTGGACCCCAAATGGTAAGAAAATTATTAAATCTTAGAATTGAAACTTTGTTTAGCTAAGACTAATTTAAAGATGTTTGATAAGATATTCCAGTTAAGCCGGATACGGTAGGTGGCTCACGCCTGTAATGCCAACACTTTGGGAGGCCAAGGCAGGTGGATCACTTGAGCCCAAGAGTTCAAGACCAGCCTGGGCAACATGGCGAAACCCTGTCTCTACAAAAAACAGCTGGGCACTGCAGTGCATGCCTGAAGTCCCAGCTACTTGGGGGACTGAGGTGGGAGAATTGCTTGAGCCCAGGAGGTCAAGGCTGCAGTGAGCCGTGTTTGCGCAACTACGCTTCAGCCTGATAAAGCAAGGCCCTGTCTCAAATAAATAAATAAATAAATTTTAAAATTGTAATTAATTTTAGTTACCTGAGTCACTTTTAAAAAACATTTTGTTTTTATCTGAATGTATCTGGTCAAGTCTTGAGCTTGAGTAAAAGAAAGGCATTGTGCTCTCTAATATTTAATTTTCACATATTTGAATCTGTGGATTCTGGATGTGTGGTATTAAGGTTTTTGCTCTCTGTGTGAGATTTCTCTTGTATTTAGTTGTTAAGTTGATTTGAAATGTATTATACTTTATGTCCTCCTTTTAAATTTTTTTAATAAAATAACCTTTACTACCCTAAACTATATATTCTCACATAAATGGAATCTGTGACCCAATAGTTAATCTACATCTGGAGCGATTTAAAACTCCTTCCATTAAAGACTTTTGGAGAAAAAATAATACACTAATTCATTTTAATCTTTAGTAGTAGAGATAGTGAATGAAAACTGGAAAACAACTGTTTCTCTAAGGGCATTCGTTAATTATTCTAGAGCTTAAAGTGTGTAGCACTTTCAGAAGACTTATTCATAAACAAGATTGCATTCACCTACTCTGAAACTATGTCTAATTTAAATGGCCTCACCCACCATTAGTAAAAGTACTTAAACATCTAAGCAATAACTCTTCGTTGTCAATGTCATCTTTTCATCTATAGAGCAGTGCAGATAAATTTCGCCCATAATGTACAACAGCACCATGGACTATGTTAAATGTAAAGTTATTTAGACAAAAATATCTTTTAATGTACTTAATGGTTTCAGAAAGTCTTTAAGACACATTCTAGACATGACATTTTCCTTGGTTAGTTGAGGATTGTTTATCATCTGCAGAAATCAAGCTAAAGATACTGTAAGTATGTGAAGAACATAATCTAGCACTAAACCTCATAGAGGTTTAAGCTCAAATAAGAGCCCTCACTTTAAGGTAGCGCAGGTTATATTTTCAGACATTTGCAAAGCATTTGCCTCTCCCCAGCCACTACTATTGGTGAAATGAGGTAAAGCACCCAGCTTTTAAAAGTCTGCATTTTGAAATGTAATTATATGAGCACCAAAATTAAATATACTCAAACCTTTATGAGTCTTGCCCTTACAGAACTCTTACATTTTGAGAGATTATTTTCCCTTATTTTTTGTTTGTTTAATGCTGCTAAACCCCAGATTTGAATTTCTCCTTTGGAAGCATATATAATTTTTCTCCCATTGTCAGTTTGAACGATCCCTTACACATCCAGTTCTGTTAATAATAAGTAGTGATGTGTGGTACTAACTCAGTTACTGTAAATCTTAGGATCCGCAAAACAAAGGTCACAAGAAGGAGAGGAGATTTGGAGCTCTACCTTCAACGGGGTCATCCCAAGTCCTTAATTTATCCCCCTACTTCTAAGGTTCTTTTTTCAGTTCTGAGTTCTTGGGCAGGAATCATAATTTCCTTTTTGGCTTCCTAATTGTTGTAAGACCCCATTGCTGTCTCCTGAATGTGTCCCTCCAAAATCATGTTGAAACTCAGTCCCCATTGTGGTGGTGGTAAGGGTTGGGGCCTTTGGGGAAGTGATTAAGCTATGAGGGCTTCATTCTCATGGATGGGATTAGTGACCTTATAAAGAAGTTGAAAGGAGCTCTTTGCCCCCGCTCTGCCCCACTTCTTATAGTGAGGACACTACAAGAAGGCACCATCTATGAAGCAGAGTGAACACTTCACTAGACAATAAATTTGCTGGTTCCTTGATCTTGGACTTCCCAGCCACCACAACTGCAAAAAATACATTTCTATCATTTATAAATTACCCATGCTAAGGTATTTTGTTATAGCAGACTAAGACAAAAATTAGTACCAAGAACTGGAGTGCTGCCGTGACAAAACACCTAAAACTGTAGAAGTGGCTTTGGAACTGGGTAATGGGCAGAAACTGGAAGAGTCCAGAGGAACAGGCTGAAAAACCTCTTGAGATGAGTGAACCATTAAGGGTGATTCTGGTGAGGAATCAGAAGAGGAGAGCTATAGAGAAAGTCTCACTCCTACTTAGAGATTACCTTAGTGGTCGTGAAGAGAATGTTGGCACAAATATGGATGATAAAAGCCATTGTAATGAGGTCTTAGACAGGAGTGAGGGACATGTTATTGGAAACTGGAGTCAAGGCCATCTTTGTTATAGAACAGCAAAAGGCTGGGCACAGTGGCTCATTCCTGCAATCCCAACATTTTGTGAGGCCAAGGTAGGAGGATCTCTTGAGCCCAGGAGTTTCAGATCAGCCTGGGCAACATAGTGAGACTTCATCTCTACTAAAAAAAAAAACCAAAACTTAAAAAACTAGCTAGGCTGGGTGCAGTGGCTAATGCCTATAATCCCAGCACTTTGGGAGGCCAAGGCTGGTGGATCACTTGAGAACAGGAGTTTGAGACCAGCCTGGCCAACATGGTGAAACCCCATCTCTATTAAAAATACAAAAATTAGCCAGACATGGTGGCAGGTGCCTGTAATCCCAGCTACTCGGGAGGCTGAGGCAGGAGGATCATTTGAACCCAGGGAGCAGAGGTTGTGGTGAGCAGAGATTGCACCACTGCACTCCAGCCCGAGCAAGAGAGTGAGACTTTGTCTCCAAAAAAAAAAAAAAAAAACCTGAGCATGTCAGCACTTAGGAGCAGTGAAATTGGATAATTGGCCAAAGAAATCTCTAAGCAAAGTGTTTAGGAATCAACATGGCTTCTCTTGGCTCTTTATAGTAAAATGTGAGGAGAGAGAAATGAATTAAAGATATAATTTATAATCAAAAGTGAAGATTTGCCGGGCGCGGTGGCTCAAGCCTGTAATCCCAGCACTTTGGGAGGCTGAGGCGGGTGGATCACGAGGTCAAGAGATCGAGACCATCCTGGTCAACATGGTGAAACCCCGTCTCTACTAAAGATACAAAAAAATTAGCTGGGCATGGTGGCACGTGCCTGTAATCCCAGTTACTCAGGAGGCTGAGGCAGGAGAATTGCTTGAACCCAGGAGGCGGATGCGGTGAGCCGAGATCGCGCCATTGCACTCCAGCCTGGGTAACAAGAGCGAAACTCCGTCTCAAAAAAAAAAAAAGTGAAGATTTGGGAAAGTCTCAGCTTGGTCATGTAAAGAATAAAAAGGCATGTTCTAGAGAGAACACCAAAAGAGTGGCGAAGTCACCTTTGGATAAGGAGATTAACGTGGATGGGTGGAAGCTTGGTGCTGTTCTTCGAAACAATGGAAGAATAAACCCACAGCATTCAGTGATTACCAGTGCTGTCCCCTGCCCCCATCACAGGCCCAGAGTACGAAGGCATGGGGGACAGAACTATCAAAGAGGGGCTTCAGGCGCTAATGGAACACTGGTAATCCCTGCCTGGCACTGTGTCAAGTCTTCTCCCCAAATTTTGTCACAGTGTTCCTTAGCCATTCCAGGTGTGGCTCCAGTAGGCCCAGGTATAGTGCAAGTCACGGTGGCTGCTCCTCTAGAGGGCATAGGTGGTGAACCTTGGCAGTTTCTGAGTGATGCCATCTCCAACAGGTATAGAGTGCACAAGCTGTGGGGTATAATTTCCACCTAGATTTCAAAAGATGCCCTGGAGAGCCTTAACAGGTCCTGGCAGAGAATTGCTACAGAGGTGAGGCCACCACTAGGAACCCTCACTAGGGCAAAGCTTAGTGGAGCTGAGCTGAGCAGGGCAGGGTCACTCCCTGAAGCCCTCCGTAGTCTACTAGAGCTTCAGCATGCAACTCCAGCCTGGGAGAGCCACATGCAGACCCAACCCAGGAGAACTGCAACATGGGCTGTCATGGGGGTGGGGGCTTCTGGTACCTCGGGGCCCAGCCCCTGCTCCAGTGTGTCCAGAAGGCAGGATATCGAGTCAAAGATTATTGTGAAGCCCTAAAAGTTAATGTTTGCCCTGTTGGGTTTTGGATTGGTTGGGACCTATTATCCCTTTCTTCTTTTCTGTTTTCTTCTTTTTGGAATGGGAATGTCTGTTCTGTGCCTGTCCCCTCATTGTATTTTGGAAACAGGTTGGATTTCACAGGCTCACAGCTGGAGGGGAATTTGCCTCAGGGTGAATTGCACCTTTGAGTCTTACCCATATCTGATTTTGGGAAGCAGTTAAGACTTGTAAGACTATTGGAATGAAATGAATGCATTTTTGCCTGTGAAATAGACATGAATTTTAGAGGGCCAGGAACTGAATGCTCTGGTCTGAATGTGTTCCTCCAAAATTCATGTTGAAACCTAATCCCTACTATGGTGGTATTAAGAGGCGGGGCCTTTTGGGAAGTGATGAAGTCATGAGGGCTTCACCCTCATGAATGGAATTAGTGCCCTTATAAAAGAGGTTGAAGGGAGCTCCCTGGACCTTTTCTGCTATTAGGATGCAACCAGAAGGCATCATCTTTGAAGGAGAGAATAAGCCCTCACCAGGCACTGAATCTGCCAGCGCTTTAAGTTTGGACCTCTCAGCAGCCTCCAGAACAGTGAGCAATAAGTTTCCGTGCCTTGTAAATTGCCAAGTTTTATACTCTTTGCAGAAGAATTTAAAGAAAATTAACTAATTACTCAATCTAAGGTAGTGTGTTATAGTAGCCTGAATGGACTAAGACACTCAGAGCCATTTATTGGTTCTCCTAACTCCC